CGACATAGCAGGAGATTGACTGTATATACATCAGAATCTTGAGCACGTTCTCGAACTGCCCGACATTCATCGAAGCGTCCTTCCAGGTGTTGAATGCAACAGGTCGCAAAACTCAGTGCTAGGAAGAAACGGTTCCTAAAAGAGGACAAATCTGGTGGATATAACGCTCTTCCGAGATGAAACTATCCTGTTTCCGGTAATGCTGACAAACGTTTTCAATTAATCCGAGCCACCGAGATCAAAAGCCATGCGTCAGTGGAACCATATGCGAAACTAATGGTGAATTTATCCACAGTCTACAACGTCGGCTTGGTCGCTGGGTGGAGCACTTCTATCATCAATTCAGTTGGCCATCGGTATCATCACCATCTGATGTACGTAGTGCTCCATAGTCCGTGGACATTTTACCGCTTGCCTAGGAGGAAGTCTCCCGAGGGGTATGATTTCTGAAACGCCACAGATCGCCCGGTCCAGATGAGCTCCCTCATTTCCAAGACGGTGGTGCAAGCTTTGTCCAAAAACTAACTTCCTTATTTCCAACCGTCTGGAATACTGAATCAATGCCATCCGGGTGGTTTGGCAGATGTCGTACCTGTTTTCAAGCAGCCCTCCCCCGCAACAATTGCTCCAATCACCAAGGTATTAGTCTCACCTCCGTTGCATCCAAGGTGTTGACATCGTTGGTCCTTCGCAGATTCCTTTGGATGGGAGGGCATCGTGCCCGCAAAAAACAAACTGGATTCCGCTCAGACCAAAACTGCTTTAATCCCATATTTACGCTACGTCAAATTTTCGGGCAACGTCAAACGTTCAGTAAACCGACCATCGTTGTCTTTTTGGACATACCTGCTGCGTTTGACTCAGTTCACTGAACAGCTCCCTGGGATTGTCTGTTAGGAAGCGTTGTGCCTGAGAAGTACGTAAACCTCAAAGCCGTCTACTCAAAAACATCGGGCCACATGGAGTTCTATAATCGCATCTTCCCGTCATTTGCCTTCACAACCTAGTCCAACAAGGGTTCTCAGTTTCATCCTTCCCCTTTAATTTCGCAAAAGACACTCCTAAGCGGCGCTCTAGAAAACTGTAAAGCTTCCGGTGTGGAGCTTCTCTCAGGTGATTGAAGCAGTGAATTGGAATATGCTGACGACATTGTTACACGCCGCGACTTCTCACAAGACGCTCAAAACGTCATGGGTAAGTTATCATTGTCCGTCAGGCAGTTTGGCATGACCTTTTCTCCATCCATTTTACAACAAGACTGACAAGAAGCTACACCTGTCCTCACGCTCATGAACGACCAGTTGGAAGTCGTCGATCACTTTACTTATCCCCGGAGTTGTTTCAGCTCAAGAGGACTGACAGAAGAAATAGCGCGTATCCACAGGGTTCGAGGGCTTTTACTAACTTATGTCACGTCCCAAAGCGATTTCTCTTTGAAAGGCCGTGTCTAGAATGCCATATTACGCATTGTCCTTCTCTACGATTGCGAGAATTGGCTCCTCCACACAGGAGACGTATGGAGATTACGTGTCTTGGACCACC